GCGACCGCAGCTCGCGATGATACAAAGTGCCGTATTATTATTATTATTATATTTATAACAATAACAATAATCTATAAACTGTATAAAGCCTGCTCGCGTTTATCCTTTTTCTTTATTTTTTTTTTTATCTTATTTTATTTTGCAATTTTGTGCTCGTTGCGTTCTAGTTCCGATTGGTCAACCGTAGCGATTTCCAGTCCGTGCCGATTGTCCTCGCCGGTATACGAATCATATTATATTATATATCTATCGTATTATATATACCTGCATGCAGCCTGCTGTCGTGTCAAGAATTATCGTTATTAAACGCACGCCATCCGGTCCGTATAACCGATAATCATATTATTATTATTAATGCTATACATAGTATACTATATACAAGACGGACGTGTTACACACACATACACACACACACACACACATATATATACAATAATAATAATATAATACCGGAGCGGACGGGTTGTCATTACTATATATATATAGCTATAGATGTATAATGTATATACCTCTGCAACTATGTATACATATTATATTATTTCGATCAAGCCGATGGCCGAAGGGATTGAACGAGTCAGTAAGTGATCTAAAATATCACGTTTTCAAATCGCTGTAAAATTTCGCTTCAGTAATTTGATTCAGTTCGAATGAAACCGTCCGGTACTTCAATGTTTACAGCAGCAGACCGTTAATTTGGCTTATATGAATATTATAATATTATTTATTTATACTTGTCACCCGAGAGTATCTACGCCCGATGTGCTATTATCTGGAAGTGTGAGTTATCGTATTTTTTATGACATTGGTATAGTACAGTAATACAGTATGTATTATGTATTTATTTATTTACATGACGTGGTCGAGCTAACCGCCACAGTGCTGTCATTTATCACCCCTCGAAGTCTATGCTCATTTCGAAATCATCAGTCGCGGATCTGGGTGAATTGGCAAATGTTATAATATCAAGAATTGAGCAATAGGTACCTCGCCGTCTCAAATACCTAGTATAAGTACTATCTACCAGCTATTGTTGTTTCGTAACGTTTTGTTCTCGATTCAACTTGGAAATAAATCGATACCTGAATAACGCATATTTTAATAATTTGTTTTATAACATTAATTATATTGTAAAACCTCGAATTAACATTAGAAACACTTATATTCTAATTATTACCTATGCATTTTTATTTCGTTCTTAAAACTATAAAAACCATTGTTATATTGTAGTATCAATGTATCATTATAATGTTATTAAATGATACCTAAGTAATTTAATTAAATAGATTACGACACCTTTTTGTCTTCAGGTCGCATACTCCCAGTTAGTTTTGGAATTTCGTATATTATTTGTTTGAAGACTGACTTTTATTCATAAAATTACAAAATAAGGTAAATCGAACGTACTTATTGACCGGCTATTATAAACTACAAATAGTTTGTTTAACATTCACGACTTCACAAGTATACATATTGTACGTATTTATTTTAATTAGCAGCAGGTAGACAAATAGTTTTTAAGAAAAATCGATTAAACGGTATTTAGGTTTTTGCTAATGTACGCTTTCTTATTTTACAACGCACATTAAAAACGAATAAATATATTTATAATATATATGTAAAATTGTAATGTCGTTTTTACAGCGTTTCCCAACCGCAGTTGTTCTTAACACATTTTCGCGAATATAATGGATATATTATATACTTTTTTTAACAAATGTTTAGTCATATAAGTAGCTATTTATATCTACATTTTAACCCATTTCCGGTACTAGCTACTATATAATATCATTAAGTACCTCTATTTATATTTTGACCCGCCTATAAGTATCTTCCCTGGATAAATACAATAAATTTGTAAATATACTCATTTTAGATTACTGCAGCAATGGCAACAATGATTCTGTATATAATATAATAACCATATTAATATGACTTCCCGGTTAGCTGATCGTGCCATATGCGCGATGGCCCAGAAGTTAACCGCATCTACACCATTGAATGGGTTTTTAAATTGAATTCTAAAAACACACGGGCGCGTGCTGCCGTCCTCGTTGTCCTTAAGACATTTTCGTGATATCCGATACTTTACATAGGTACTTACATCCCTTCCATTTGGCCAATACCGATTATCAGTTTTTTTAGTTGTAAACCGTAACTCTATCGGTTAGGTTTCTCCGGCTTCTTCTTCACGCATGCATACCGTATGTACCTATATGATGGGGCAAAAATATAATAATATAAAATTATTATATATGGTTATCGCAGAAAACGGCAACTGGAAATGGGCAAAAAAGGTGCCTGGTTCTTCGTTTCCTTCACCATGACGGCGGTTTGATTCATTGATTGATAATTCTGAATCTCCATAAAACCTGCGATGTTGCGATCGCGACGGATTATTTATTTTATTATATATTACATCACTCGCGGGTGTTTTTAAACTGCGGACGGGTATGTACAATTGCATTATCCTGGTATTAAACTAGTCATAATAATAATAATTATAATATTAATACGATAATTATTATTTAATGATCCAGTGAAAGTGTTCGTCGCCGCCGCGTGATACGATGCCCACGCGCTATAGTTGCGATGCCGCGCCAGATTCGCGATCTCAAGTGATTTCGTATTTTATTTTTCCCTCTCGACGACGATGTATAATATTATCATGTCGAGTTCCATGTACAGCAACAATATGTGTGGGGGGGGGTAATAGGCGAAATAGTGTTTCCATCGGTCACGCTTACGAATTATTATACACATAATATTATATGAATATGAACACGATGTATGCGAGCGGTTGTCTTGTACACGCGTTTATACATATGTAGCTATGATTACTTATAATATGTGATGTGTGTATACGTGGCTTTGTTGTTAACATGAGTCAATTCAACTCTTTCTCAACGGAGAGAGAGAGAAAGAAAGCCAATGATTGGCTTTTTAACGTGACTGCACTAAAAGTCTGTTACAATTTAAAATGAATAAAGTCGAGCAATTTACGTTTCATACTTGATTATATTATTATATTATGGTGTCGCTCGGAGGCGGTCGTTTTCGTAAATTTTACGTAGGTTTCAATGACATAATACTAATGTATTCATGGCTATAATATATTAAGTACGTATGTGTAGTTCTGGTCTCTATGTATAAAATATATATGAGTGACCGAAAACTGTTTTAAAAATATATCTCACAACTCACAAGATAAACGGTCGAAGAGTTTTATACATGTATGTTATTGTCCAAAGATTAATATTGTGTTTGGACAGTTGTAGCTCGGCCGGCACAGCTTTACAGGGTATTGCTTGCTGCCACACGCGCAGTCTGCCGAATCACCGTTTAATTTATGCGCTCGCTTATATATTATTGTTCTTAAATAATATTACCTGAATAATACATGAACTAAATTATATACGAAAAAAATTACCGATTAACCCATAATTATTTTTAAACGAATTTTTTTTCATTACCTAATTACATATTACAATGCGTGTGTGTTGACTTGTGTTGTATATATAATACAATATGCTTTTTAAACTATGCATATTTTATGTTATTTCAGCGTTTGCCGTTTAGATTATAATCATTTGCATGTTTAAAGTTTTTTTTTGTTGATAAAATCGAAGTGATTCCCATCGTAGTACCTATCGATATATTATTTTCAAAATTAAGTGCCATCAACTTTTTCAAGAAAATGCAGAAAAAATTCACGTATACGAATATTTTTTTCTAGGTATTTTTTCTAAATTTTCCCACCATATAATAATAGTCACTCGGAATATTATACAATATTAACTACATATACATATATATGCTACCTAGTACCTATATATTATTCGTCAAACTGCTTAATATAATTATAATTTCTTATATAATTGTTGAGATTATATGAATGCTGTTCATACAATAAATCATAATAAGAATAAATACGCCCAATAGTAAACTAATAAATTATTTAAATTAAATAACCGTTAAAAAATGTAGGTGGATGCATTCAATACTGATATACATTTATGTATACCAAGTAAAATGTAAAGACCTATAGGTAGGCAATGCCATCAATATGATTATCTTGATTTATGTTTGAAATATTTTTATTTTGAATTGCATAATATTATTGTTTAGAATTTTTCAATAATATTAAAATTTGAAGTTATGGTTGTTATTGCATTTTTATCGTATTACCTATGTTGCATGTAATAATTCATTTAGTAATATTAAATCACTGTGCGTAAATAACATATTCGTTAGAACGTAGTTTCATTTTGCAACGTAAAACGTTATACAATGATTTATGGATCAAGTTATGAAGAGAAAGGTGTTAGGATGAGTAAATACATATTCATGTATCCATATATACAGGCAGTAACTTTAATATAGTTACAGTGTAATTCAAGTTGACATTACCTGTGGTAGTATTTTAGATTAATTATGATATTGTTATATCCTTTTGTTCTTGTCAAATTGTTTTAAATAGATACTCATTTGAAACGATATATACCTTCGAGCTAAATCTTGAAATATGATACATTTATTGCAATTATAATTATCTAAGTATAAAGTAATAAATGTATGGTAGTTACGCACGTACCTATATTATTATACTGTCCCTATGAATAAGCTAACAAACGTATATTTAGCTACCTATAGGTACATATTTTTTTAATTGGACGTTTATTCGTTATTCTTTATATCTATAATAGTGCGTATTGTTTGAAAAATATATAGTATTAAAGTATGATAGATATACGTTGTAATCTATAGCGGTTAGACAATCGTTTATAGTTCTAACTTTTAAGGGATTGTTTAAAGGTTAATTTGTGCAATATATTATTTTAAGTTAAACCTTCCCCAAGAAAATATTATACCTATACCTACATATTGTGCTGCTGTTGTTGAGAGTACACTGTACAACCACAACATTTATGATATTTTACATTATTAAATGACGTCGTCCTGTTTGTTTAGTTTCAGATGAATTCTCCGAACGACCTGTAAATATGTGGGGCTGTTCGAGTTGCGGAACAAGTCGTCTGGTCAACTTGCTGGTCTTTACCGTTTTGATTAGTTTGGCCGAGGCTTGGCAACAGAATCTTCCGCCAAAGAACAGTGTCAGATATGGTGAGTACAAACATTTTGCGTACTTATCTATATTATATCGATTTCGCTAAACTGCCATTGCCCATTGATATCCAGTAAAGACGAAATAAGATTATTATCTAACAATATAAAATGTATGTGTATTATAATATATAGTATGCAACTTATAGTGAATATTTTTGATGGATCAATTCCTAATTAATTACTTTTTCCATAAAAGAAAGGGGAAAATGCAGTAAACTATAATAATAATTAATGGCTAATACTATTTTATTTTAAAATAAAATAATTTTTAATGTCACCAGTCGCACCATATTAATATAATATGGTGTATAGTTGATTGGTTTACTATTAAAATTAAAATATTACAATACCTCCGGCAGTCGTATCTAATTGTTCAATAATTTATATAGGAACTTTAATTAAATCAAGTCCTGATCTTTAACCTAAATTACCATTGGCCAGAGAATAATGAAAACTCGCTGCGTTTTTCTTAATAGAAAAAAAAACAGTACAATATGATAGTAATATACCATTTATAATAATATTTAAGTCTAAATTATTAAAATATTTGCGTCATGGGTTAAAATTAAAATAATAATATTTTTGTCAATAGATGAAAAATGAAAATGGAACAATATAATCTGATGATAAGCGATTATTAAACAAATATACCTACTTATAGTACCTTTATTAGGTACCTAATTTCTAAACACGAATTTTTTCGACAAATATGGGTAAATTCCCTGTTATACATATTATATTAATTATTATGTAGGTATTTTACTATTATGTACTATAATACTATGTACCCATCCACGATATTGTAATATTATAATTATAAAGTAGACAATAACGGTCGGTCTAGTATCTGCAAACACTGTGCGGTACACCGAAATCGCGTGGCACGCACCGATAATAAGTCGACCGAAACCCGGCCACCACCGTGTTACCCGAGCGCAGTGGCGATGATTATGACACTGCAGTGGAACGAAAAAAGTGAACGGTCAATGTCTGCGTTATTCATAAATAATAATATTATTATTATTCCCCAAATCCCACAGTGTCTCGATATCTGTAATATCATCTGCATCTGTTTTTTTTTTTCGTTTTCTGTCCCATATGTGTGCGGTGTGTAAAGCGCACGTCGACGATGTATATAATACATTACGCGCCGTACATCGCAGCAATACGATATCGCGCGTGCGGTCAGGACGCAGTCGGAACGACATCGTCTATCGGGGTTCAGTGGTCACACATAGCGTAGGTTGGTAGGATACCGAGGTATAATATTATTATGTATATACGTGAGTGCGTCGCGGTCACCAGTTTTTGGGAGGTCTTTTAACGACAGAAAAGTAATAAAAAAAAAACGAGACGTTCCAAACGTATAGCAGCGGTGACGTATTCTTCCCTCTTGTCGTGTTGCATCGGTTATTGTACTAAAAACCTATATTATGTACATACCGTGGTGGCGTGGTTGTAGTAACCAGCGACGCCAACCACCTCGCCCATAGCTCTTGTGTATTGTTTGTGTACGACATTTGAGACGGAAGAAAATATATTTATTACCTCCTGGTGTAATATATTATATATAGTTATATCGTAGGCCGTAGCATCAATAATTATTTGGGGATACGGTTATTATATACCTGTAATCTGTATGTCGTATGATATTGTTATTCTTTCGTATAATACACATTATATTATATAGGTAGGTATATAAACTACCCCCGCCCTACTGCTGTATAGCCAAAAGGATACTTGGATATTGGGCGTTTACATTTTGGGATAAATATTTACCCACTGTTCAATGATAACAAAAACACAATATTACACTCGTTCTTTACCAGCATAGTATAATTTATCGCCTTGTAAAACTTGTATACCACAATCTAAAAACTTCTTTGAGACGGTTTTTACTCTTTTATTCTCGATAATTCGGTATCTGAACTTCTGAAGTGCAATTGAACAATAACACCTTCAAATTTGTGTACACACTCTTGTGTATCCGTTTTATTTTAAAACGTTTATTAATTATTTGTAGTTCTTAGAAATCTTAATCCGAACAATTGTTTAGCAAACGTTTGAAACGAGAAGGGTAAAACTTATATTTTGTTACGACACTTTAATATTATTAATTTAGTGTAAATTAGTTCGAATTTGAAATGTCATTGTAGCTACTGACTTCATAGATACACAATATTAATGACTAGGGAAGATAACCGCGAAGGTTATCTACATCATGCTGGTTTACAATATCATGTTGGATTAGCTTGACTGTAAGGCTATTGACAAATAATATTATATACACTTATTATAAACACAAACAGTGAATCGCAAAATTTTAGTTGTTATCGACGTGTCCTTCGAATAAAACTATAACAAAATTATTGCTTTTTTACCAATCATTTTATTTTATTTTAAAACATGTGTTTATTTACCTACGCATATTAACGCTGTTTAACAATGTAACTATTACATCTTCTCTATTTAATAATTTTTTCTTAATCAAATATTGAATGATACCTATAGGCGGTACCTATTACGGTTTAATTATTATTGCGTTATTAAAATAAAGCTTATGTGTAAATTTCTTGTGATAACAATGAAACTGACAAGACGAATATGTTTAACTCGCCACTAAGTAACTAATAACTCTTACGTTTATTTTTTTAAACTGATTCGATATATATCATGAATTTGGATCAGGTTAGGTTAGCTGAATTCATTAAACTACTACTATATTGCCCTATTCTATAATAGCCATAAGGTATTATCGTCTGACACAAAACTGGTTACATGATAAAATGCTCGATAAAATATCAAATGGACGAAAATTATATCGACCATACAAGTAGACGCAGCGTTATAAATTATCAGAATATCAGTGCTCAAGGCGTTAAAAAAATGTCGAAAAAATCGGAACTTTGATATGGTAATTTATTCACGATAAAGTATTTTTTTTCAAAATATATAGGTATGTAAGGTATACATATATTTTATTTCTAAATTATTTTAGTATTTGTAAGTTTTAATAGAATTAAGCCGGTATAAGTGATATTTTATGAATATTTTAAACTAACAACAAACTACAAAGTATATATTTTTAAATAACTGATTTGAAACATAGATATAATATATTTAAAGAAGTACCTAAGTATATTTACTTATGTTACATTGTGTATTGTATTATAGTACCTACAGTCTACAGTATTAGGTTTCATAACTAATATGAGATATTAGGTATTTCTTATTTTGCTGTAGCTATAGGTACCTATAAATATAAGTCTGTACGAACGCCTATAAATGTGTTATACATATACATCAAGCAAGAAATATAAGTATATAATATAGTACTTATATAAGAATGGAGTGCGAGGACGCCATATGCCGCTATTCTAGAGATCCTGTTTTATTGCATTGAAATATTGTTTAATGTCTAATTTTTAAACGGTTTTCCGACTGTCTTTGGGCATAATATTCTTCTTTGGTGTATACAAGAATAATCGTTTTTGCCCCGATACCTCTATCTTTCGTTTGAAACTCACTGATTTGCACGTACGATGCTGCACTATATTACAATGGAATATATGTGTACAATAGCATGTCTTCTCTCGTATAGGTATAAAATAAATATTATGTACACATATAAAACCGGAGTCTTCTTACTATTTTTGGTAGCTAAGAGACTTGTTCCGAAATAATAAGATGAATAAATATGAAGAGAGAGGACACCGGCCGGTTTGTTGTTGGCTTCAATCAACTCTTGTTACGCTGCATTGACCTGAATTTGCCTTTCTTACGAGCTTAAATTAATATATATAGTCACAAACACGCGTGAGCGAGTGTGCGGGGTTCGCGCGAGCAACCTCCGTATGCAGCGTTCCAGACGACACGTCGTTCTCGAAAGGTCAACGCGTTTTGAGGATTTTGATCAATCAACGACGACGTTGCGTTCGTCGAGTATTATAGAGCGTATAATGCAATGAATGTATCAATGATAATTGAATAATAATGTAATAAATTGTTCACGCCCGTAAAGACCTCCCGAGTGAAGTGCACGAAGTCCGACGACGAAAATGCTGTGACGATATTCGTATAATATAGTCAACATAATTGTGTATACGTCTATATATATATCAATGTATGTATGTATTTAAGTATATAATATTATGTATACTTGTACAGACCAAAGAGTCGCGTTACGCATAGATAATGTATGATGATGGAAGTTTTACATTTTCGATTACGACATTGGTAGAATTGCAGCGGAAGTATACCTTTATTACAGCTGTGCTTACAACGGAGAGTGTTGCAGCAGTGTGATTAAAAAACAAATATCTATATTATAATATTCTCTCTATCGCCGCCGTCCTCTTACTGAACTCACCTATCTCGTATATACAGTTATTTTATTTCAACGTCGTCGTTGTTACCGGTTTGTCCGGTGGGATGTCCCATTGACGGCGGCGGTGGCAAACGAAATAGTAAGATTTGTTTTCAATTTATTCATATAAGTAATGTGCGTGTATTCGTATACAACTCGAGATTACAATATTTCCGGAGTTCATAAATTATAAACAAGCGTAGAATTGAATAAGAAAAAATAAATATCCTACCTCATATGAATCCTAATGAGATCTCCCCTCCACGTCGTTTTTTCGCACGTTGTATACTAAGATAAAATTATACTTCTCTCTTATGGACCATATATACATATGAGGTAAACAAGTTTTGTTATTATTATTAATAATATTTTTTTGGTCTCAATCCAAGTGGTCGCACTTTCGAATGGAACTGATCAACTCACTGAAATCACGCCCCTGCTAATAAATACACAATTTTTTTTTCTTTTATCATAGTTGAAAGCGAAATTTGCCCAAAAGTAACTAGAAATTCATACTTATCGTATTCTGATAATCCAATTTTTTTCTTGTTGGTAATGCAAGATAATATAATATTTTATTTTATTTTATTATGAGCGTAAAGAATGCAAATACAATATTAGTCAATTATTAGAATATATTATGATTTATTCATTTATATTATGAATAATAATAAAATATTGTTTAATAATAAATTATACATTAGCAATAACTAAATTAAATAAATGAAACTCAATAAAAAAAACTCAATAAAACTCAATTAATGGAGTTATATTATAATTAAATACCACATATTTTAATTATTATTTGCTAAAAACTACTATAGAGTGAATATCGTTAAAGCCTAAACTTGTTTTTACAATATTTTTATTTTTCATACTAATCTGTTACTCTTTTATCTGTGATATTTTATTTAAAATACGGCATTAGGTATATTCAAAGAATTTGCATGTCGAGCGTCGAAAATCCCAGCACGTATATATTATGCAGATTATAATATTTTAGTTAAAAATTAATTTATCAAACAAATTAGGAAAAAACGTTCATTTATCATTTGTCATTTAGTATTCAGTAAACTTATCTAAATGGGGTTGAAGACATCACGAACTGTTAAAGAAACAAAACTTTTCATGGGGTCCTCCGCAATCGTTGGGCAGGATAACAAATGACTTCATTTTCTCTCTTCATTAATTTAACGTTATTTTTGTTGCGTGTATCTTTAACCATGATCTTGTGACGGGTTGACGGGTTATTAAAACTTCACCAAAATCATCCTGACTGGAAGCTTTTGATCTTGATCATTATCGGCTGTACTGTGGTAGTCACGTATAATACAATATTAAGACGGTTTCAAAAAACAAATAATGTTGACTATATAATATATAGTAATTTGATTTTCTTTTGTTTTTTAATTTTCAAATGGTAAGTATGTATATAAACATATATTACAACTTCGTAAGTATTACTTAATGCTAAACATTAATTTTTGATTTATGATAAATTATGTTGAAACTGAAAAACATTGTGTATTTGAACAACAAAACTGTTGTGTTGAGAAGTGACTCACGTTTATAATCTTAATTCTTAAGTGTTCATAAAAATAATTATATGTATTATATATTTATATATGAACACAATTAAAGATAATATAATATGTGTTATCAATTTTATTTGCGACGTAAGCTGAGTAGTATCATTATTGTAAGTTAGTTGTGTATAGGTTTCAATTATTTTTCTATTCCATTGTATATATTAAAACGATTTTAAGGAGTAATATCTAATAATATCCTTATTACTATATTTTAAAACACTGTTTTTAATTTCAATCAATCAACTGGAACCTAAATCAGTATATTGCGGTTGTTAAGTCAAGACCTAACCTAGCTTGACTTGTGATTGCATATCTATAAATCTATTATACAAAAATGACATAACCGTATATTGTATACTTTAATTGTAAATTCAATTCTTATATTACATACATATTAATCCATATTCTAAGACGGTTTTCATATACCTATATAATATATAAACCTATAATATATTATATAGGTAATGAAGCTGTTATGAAATGTAGAAAAAAAAAATTTAATAACTATTATATACAATTCATTAATTGTAATCAAATTTCATATGAATACAGAATAGGTATATGATTAAAAAAATTGTTAGGTATAAGTATTAAAAAAACATTTTAAAACAATTATACCCATTACACAAGTTTTATGTTTAGGTGCACATTATAATACGTAGAAAATCGTTTGAAAAAACATCTGTATTATTATAGCTACCTATAGTTATTACTGCCATCAAAGTATAACTTATGATAGTTATAAATCATAGTGAATAATTATTTAAATTTAAGTCAAAATACATTCATCGTGAAAACGACATTATCACAGTTAATTTGTTTAACCCATTTAAAAAAAAATCATGCACTCGTATACTGTATAGATTGTATAGATAATCAAAGAATGTGCACAAACTGAATGATATGTTAAAAATATGTTTGGAATTCTTAGGCTGTTTTGTAGCTGATATAGATGTGTGAATGTATAAATCATTAATACATGTTATTATTATTATTTGTTTGGTCGGAAATACGACTCGATTCTTTAGTTCTTTAATCGAAAATAATAATATTATATGGGTGTGATAAGCTGTTGATAATTTATAGTTTTTTAAACACTTATCCGTCTGATACGAGTCCTTGTATTGCCGCTGACTCATTTTATTTAAATAGTTTTTAAAATTATATTTTCCTAAATATACATTAACTCAGAAATATGATACGTATGTTTCATAATATGTAATATTATGTTGTTACCTATAAGGATAAAAGAAATGTGTTCAATGTTATATATTTTAAGAGGTAGGGCAATCGCCTCCAGAGGTTAGGTTAGGCTCAAGTACTGAAGTATAAAAGTCAATGTTTGTAAATTATGATGTTTTATTTTTACATTATTATTTTGAAAATATATTATACTCTTTACCTAAAATATAAATTCCAGTCTGTTGATCAGACTCAAGTCCTTTATATTTACCTCGATAGTAGGTATATAAAAAAAAGAATTTATTATCTCTATATGTGTCACCAGTTTTTAGTTATGCATATTATATGCTTAGTTTTATCGGTGAAAAAACTAATATACGAAATATTAGATACATGAAAGAATTACAGAAAATACTTCAGATTTTCAATTAGGTAATTTTCTTTTTTCATTTTTAATAGTAATATTTTATGAAACGTGATTACTTATACTTGTGTCAAAATGATAAAGTTAAAAAAAAAACAACAATAATATATAAAATTAGGGAGAATGGTTTTTGTGGCTGGCTACCACCACATCGTTCGTTAGATAATAATGAGGCACGATTTAGCCTTGTTCGCCGCACATACTCTGCAGACGTCAAGGTTCGTCCAGATATATCGTATGATATTAATAATATACAACACACACGAGGGAGTGAGAAAGATTGTACGACAATAGGAGAGGAGAGTTTTCGATGAAAAACAATAGATTAACAACATATTATTTAATAACAAAAAAAAAACATTACTCTTAACGGACACCTGTGCGCCGGCGGTGGCGGCGGTGCGCTTCATAAGGGTGAGGAAGGAGTTATGATTTCTTTTTAACGTTCGTGATCTGACGCAGGGATTTAATAAATTATTGCCAACGTAAAATTATTGGCGTTACAAGGTAAATAATATATATGCATGATCGTATACGTGTACAGTACTCTCAAGGTTTGTTATTGCATAACAATAAATAATAAAACGTTATAATCCAAAGGAGAATTATATATATTATATTTCTGAGCAGCGTGAGTATAATACGAATGCAAATCACAGCCGACTTTCATAAAATGCCCAAGAATATTTATAGGGAAATTGTCTTTCGTTTGCATATGAATGGCATATACTTAAGAAGAGGTCGTTCAAGTAATGGTAAATCATTCAAGGTTCTATGTTTTTTTCTTTTTTCAATAAACACGAAACTTTTATTGTTTGTTGTTTAGATAATTGACATATATAATATATTATATGCATTATATAATTGTAATATATTAAGTTTGTCTAATCGTGTTTCAGGCGCATTCAATTCGGACCAAATATTTCACGGAAATAAGACCGCCACAGACTACTTCAAAATACTCCTCCAAGATCAGACGACGGCACTAATAGGATCCAGGTAAATTATATTTCCACCCTTTATATTATATTATGCTCGGCACGTATATTGAGCACGCCTAATTAATAAAAACACCATCACGCGTGGGATATGCACCGTGGGTGTAGGCGTTACGGTGGTTCGATTTTTGGGGAACGTACCCGGTCGATAAGTCCGTAAACGTAAACAAAGAACCAATACGATGACTTGGCGTTAAGACAGGATACATGCTCCATGAACCATTTATATTTTACGAGTATTATAATAATACTAGTAGGTGGGTATACTTTTTGACTGTTTTCTTATTCGGTTTCAATTTTATTAGTTGGTAACACAAGCGTTTACACTACATCGTTAGAAAGTATAAATAAATATAATATAAAAGTCATTTAGATGTACATATATATTATATGCATATTGCAGATAGAGGTAGATACCTATAGTGTTCTGTGAATTTTTAAAAATTTCGCATGGTTCAGAAACCACATACAAAACTATGAAAACACAATTTATATATGCTCTACTTATATATTTTATGCTGATGCGTTATGCTGCCTTTTGTTCCGGTTACGCATTTGTCACATAATTTGAAATTTTGGCTTCAGTTTTTAAAAGTTTTAAAATTATTTCTTATCCTCGAATTATTTACTTATGTTTACATTTACCATACATAATATTATAATTCTGATTCTGCATTTCTGCATAAATCACTTTTCCAAATTAAAATGTTTCGATACTCGATAGTTAATGCACTTAATGGTCAACAAGTAATCGTTATATTTTCAACGTACCGATTGAACTAGTGAAGCGATACGAATTCTGACAACAGATTTGAATTTGTCGTCAAGTATATTTCATATCAACTTTCCCTCATTTATGATTATTTAATATGATTATAATTATTTAATTTTTCAATATTTTTCAATAAAATATAAATTTGTGTGAAAACCGATCTCTAGTAAAGTTGACGATAAATCAAAATCTGTTTTAAGAATTAATATCGATTGATCACTGGTATCCGACACATAATACTGAATCAATTGGTACGTTGAAACATAGAAAACGTCATCTAAATGTCTACGTTTCGCGTGTATTAGACAAAGTTAGAAAATCACCCCACTCAATCCCTATTATTGGATGTTTCGTAATATTTCTTACACAGACTTTATAAATGAGAATGAAATGTTTGAATTTATTCTGCCACTTAAAAAAAAATAAAATATCATGGGATATACTATCATACTTATATTTTATACACACTGATATCAAATATTATAATTTATTGAATTCTCAAAGTTATTAGGTACTTATTATTATAAGTTATTACATTATAAACAGATGTTCGTTACTATGTGAAATATTAATTATGTTGAATTATGGTTAATATTGGTGATCCATTTTCATAAAAAGGTTTTACCTATTATGAAATAATTGAATTCAATAATTATAAATATTATAATAGATATACCAAATACCTAGTTAATATAGTTTGTATAGTTTTTTTTATTAAAAACCGCTTGGTTTCGAAACTTGAATTTAATTTGCTGTTAAATCGTGTAAGATCATATCGTATAATCGTTTTCAAATTAATTATTGGCAAACTTATATTTGAATTTTGATTACGGTTTTCGTTAATTTATCTTAGGAAACGTTGAAAATAGTTTTCGAAAAGTTTGTGTAATGTAATAAATTAATACTTAAAATTGTATAATTATTTGAATTAAATAAGTTTCCAAACATTCTAAAGCAAACGTAATTTTCACGTAATACCAGAAATATGTAATTGTTTCAAACTATGCAAGCGCTGCAAACGTTAATCAGTTCAATAATTGTTATTATTAATTATTACGTAAAACTTTAACCAAATTGGTGTGACCGTGTGGCTATTCAATGATCAATAATGTATATCGACAAATTGCACTCTGCGGTGATTTAATTTTATTATTTTTTTCCGTGTCACATGGCGTTTCACCTACAATATATAATGGCGTGCTGGAATTAATTGAAAGTTTTTTAATTTCAGAAATGTACTTTACAACATCAGTTTGGACACCATGAAGGAAAATCACGTGAGTGAATTAATTTTTGTTGTATTTTATTCTCACCATAAAATACGATATAACATATGTATTCTTATTGTGCAGCTACTAAATAACGTTAAGACTTGTATTTAAACAATAGTTCGGACAGACTAATATATCTAACTGGTGGCCGCAGTGTAGTATATATATGTCTTATAAATATATTATATATACAATAATAATATGTACATTGATAATATAGTGAAGTTCGACGCGTTTTGGAATTGTTTTTCCGGTCCGTTGCTTCGAGTTCTTTGTACTCTTGCCTGGTTTGGTCACCTCGAACAAAACGGTGTATAAGTATATAATATGCGGTTAAGACGATATTTTCCTAAAGCCCCCCCCCTTCGTATGTGTAATATATATGTACCTAGGTATATATGTAAACCGGTGTATACTGTGTATGGACACTGTTTTTTCTTTTTCTTTTTAAGTTTTAAATGTATTTTGTGTTGACGACTATAACGGATTTGGCCGTTCAGTTGTCTCGAATCGTCATGTTATAGTGACCTGCCGGAAACATCGTTTTACCAACTACGTAGTACATAAATACCGAATCACCAACTGAATAATAATACAGCAAATATATGTCACCTGAATAATATAAATAAATGGTCTCGACGGCACCTCGTCAATACACAAGTGCGTACACAATTTTTACGTAGACTCATAAATTGTATAAATTATACGTAAAGTGGTAGTACCTATGGGCGTTTATTTAATTTTTTGCTATAATAGCAGGTATACGGTAATTTTAAAAACCAGTTGTATATCAATTTACCAATCGTATACGCATACGTATATTATAATATGTAAAAGGATTTGATAAGTTTGTTTTTAAAATTAAGAAATAACAGGTTTCTATTTATTGAGTATTTTGATTTCGAAAAACTATATAATATTGTTATGATGGTACCTACTTTATGAGCAATACTCGAACAGCCCAAGGTTACGTTATTGTAATTATTATAATATGTAATATTTATAATCAATAAATTTAATTTAAATGCTACTTCATTTTTTACTTTTCTTCTTATTTTTGCAATAAAATATTTTGCCTCGAGACACTTTCAGTGGGTGGTATTTATTCATTTTGATTTGATCATATGAGGGCGAAAGCCCTCCGGAGAATTGATTTATCATGGATCATCCTCATTTCATAATGATTCAATTTTTTTGAATAATATTCCGATGCTTACTACATATAAATCTTATAAAACCAACAGACGTTTTCTTTCAACGTAATGAAAATGAAAGAAGAAAAATATTTAACATCTGCGATGAGCTTATTTCTAGTTTGACAAGTTTTAAACAATTGAAAGATAAGAGAATTATATAATATATTACGAGATATGTTTTATGTATTTGCTTTCTTTGTTATTTTTTAAAGAAAATCCAATCCTTTTTATTGTTCGGTGTTCATCGCTATAACTATAATATATAGGAACCTCACTGAGCTCACGTTCATAATAATCCTTGTCAAATACTGGCTTATCATATCCCAGTAACCCATTTATTTATTTTTGTGATAAACTTAATAAACAACAGTTTTATTTCATTATAGTAGAGGAATGATAAAATACGTTACACGTTGCTTACAATAACTGAACGTTCAAAAATATCATGTTGAAAATAAACTACAAACTTATAAACTATTTTATGTTTGTTATCTTGATTTAAAAAATAAAACAATTAGGTATATACCTAGGTTTGTTTTGAAAACAACATTTTATGTGTAACACCTTCTTTAATAGTATACACAACACAATATTTAAGTTCAACTTACACATATTTAAAGTTTAAATTATGATATAATTTGTTCAACAATTTGTCTCAAGAACAATTTTTTACGATGAATATTACAGGTTATACCTATAGCCTATTTATGCTCTATGGAGTAATATATTTAATATTTATATGTATTATGTATATAATATAATATAATTTTAAAATAAAGTTAATTTACATTACTTTACTTCTGTTTCATTATTTTTATTGTAGTTTTAATATTTTTATTTTATTCTTCTTATAAATTATTGTATTCTACCTATACTGTATGATTTTTTTATAGCATTGATGCCGTTGTATACAATCTTATTCACATGTATTAGACTATCGTAAAAAATTAATCATTTTTACTCTCTCTTGTTCAAATTTTTTTCTATTGTTATGGTCCAAAAATGCATAATTAATAAATACCTGGGCAAGTGATAGTCTAATCAATAACAATGGAAAACAGCGGTATTGGTGAAAGAGTAGGGCACGTGTGGGCCTTCTTTTGTTTGGGTTCACCAGCGTGTTAGCGTGTTCTGGTTATTTCGCAAAATCTCCTGAACAATATAAAAATAATTATTATATAGGTGTTGTATGTGTTTCAAAGAAACACTACATTGTCCTTCTAATTAATGGCTCGACGACGAAAGACTGATTGAGAGGAAAGAAAGAATAAGAGTAGGAGATATGGCATTATAGATATAGTACCACTGGGTCATTTAAAATATCCTTGTTAAATATCAATTAGGCCTCAGGGTCATGCTGGGTGGTGTTGTGTCCGAAAATCCGCTGGGGGGCTAAAACGCTTTTGATGAACAAATTATCAGCTATGATTTTCGCTCAAATGAACAGAAGAGTTTTTTAAAGATTGCACGTGTATACATTATAATATACACGCGTGTTATTAAACGCCTCGAGGAAAATATTTTTATTTTTATTATTATTATTATTATTATAATTTAATAATAATACTTTTTATGGATAGAATTTCCGGTCGACTCTGATGTCATAGTTTTGAAATGAAAGTAATGTAAATTACCGTATATTTTTACCTTATGCGATTCTCGTTGAAAAAATAAACTGTTGGATGACTGGGTGATAAGAAAATAAAAATAAATTTAACTTGTGACAGACATCGTGGGCAGACCGGTAGTATTTTGAATGTGACAACACATTTTATGATTGATGGGCTCTGTTGGTAAATTACGAATTAAACATCTACTGTGTATAGATTGTATAGGTAGCATAAGTATATACCTAATATCTAGGCATAGCTAACGTTTCGGAGACAAGTCGCTTTCTAATAAATTAGAATTTCAATTGTACAATTTCCCGGTTAATGCGTATGAATTTTTCGTTTATATCGGTAAAATATTAGTAGTATATATATATAATATAGTATAATATGTAAGATGAAAAGGAAAAAAACACTGAAGTTGAAATGTTTACATTGCCCCCAAAACTATAAGATTAAAAGTTTTTTTGTATTTGAATAATATATTATACGTATGTGTTAAAATAAAAGTTATCTTTTTATTTATGTATTCTAAAAAAAACATTCTGTTAAAATAATTTTAAAAACTTCGTATTTGTGTTCGTTGTATGCAGACAAGACTCAATAGAATTATTGAACTGTATAATTTTGAAGTAGGTACCTATAGTGTATACAGTATACACGGGTAAGCATTTATCATAACTTTAACATTTTATCAGGTTGAATTTTAAGTTGAGGTTTCTTCATGCTTTTTTTTTAGTCCAAAAAGAAGGTTGTTTTGCCTTCTATATCTAGTAAATTTAACATTTGAGACCTTTTTATAACGTATTTATATGAAGACCTTAAAGTAATCTTATTGTGAAACTTAGAAGCTTGTTTGTTTTTAATTCTGTTTACATATATATAGGTATATTATATAGGTACGTAAAGTAGGTAAACTTAACGTAATAAAAATAAGCAAACACAAGTTTAAATAATAAAGAGTTTGTATGAACTTCTATGGCTTAAGTCATCGGGCCATACCCACTTTATTCTATAGTTACAAATTTACAATATATAGCTATGCTAATGAATTATGGTCGTATAAAAACACCCCTGCAATCATTTTAGCACATCATAATGTTGCATTTATTGATCATATAAGTATTAAAGTATATAACCCATTCGTTGTAATCTACCACATTGTTGAAATTAGTTATTTATATTATTATATAACGAACATCATTGGTACAGTAATACGGTATATACAGATATACACGAATGGAAGTATATGGTAGTATCGGCGTAACGCAGAAGGAAAATAATATTTTCAACTATATAATTCGTAGGTATTGTTAAAATCGTTTTTGACATTAGGCTGGGGCTAATTTTGTTTGCATCGCGTCTATTTGCATAACATAGCGTTCATTTTAAAATATATGTATAGCCATATTATAATATTTTGTTTTCGAATCAGGTTTACCGTTTACAGACATACAATTGTATATGCCCTGACTCAGAGACGTAACGTTGGGGGCTAAAACATAACATAAAAAAAAAAAAATAAAAAAAAAATATTAATAAAATATTAATATTGTTAACTTTATTTTTACTTTACTTGTATAATTTTAAAAATAACTATTATAATGTTTATTAGGAACTAACACAAAAAATATTTAGTCAGTGACTCAGTTTCCAACTTAAATATTTAGAAAAATAAACTATACCTACTTCAAATAAAAATACCAATATTGTATGTCACTCGATAGTAATTTTATGCCATACGTATAAGCTTATTTATGATTAGATTTTTGTACATTACATAATATGTTTATTTGAATTTATCGGTATCTTGTGAAAATATATAGATTATAGATATTATTTACAGAATCATAGTCATATTTAAATAAATTATAAGCTGAAAACCAAAAATATCCGAGAAACGTTTTGTCCTTTATACAAATTGCGAAATAATAACAGTCGGGCAGTTAGTATACTATTTTCTAATAGGCGTTAATAAGTAAAATAACATTAATTTCGACATAAAGATATGGATAGCCGATAGGCCCTGGTTATATATCAACGCTTTATGTGGGGTCGTGATCTATTTTGTGAAAGAGAAAAAAATATTATATTATTAATATATTATTATCCATGCTCCTGGGTGGTTTCTCTTTGCATGCGGGATTTATTTTGATTGATAAAAAAATAGCTCCTGATAGAGTGAATAGCCTATCCATTATATTATTATTAATGGATATTACGAGCTCATATAAATCTTTACCATTAAATAATTATCATCAACATCAGTGATACAATTTTATATCATGATTATATTTTATATATTATCTGTATTCTGTGTAAACTAAAGTTTTTTTCTCTATATTTTGGTATTGATCTACATTAAGGGAGACTGTCTCCATACCTTATTTTGTTATCAAAATATGTTGGGACTTGAGCCCCCAATAATTATGACTTAAAGTCATAGTAGTATAATATGCTCGCTGTAACTCGATTAAATAAGTCGAATACGTTATTGGTTTGTTACAAAACTTTTGTATATTAATAAATTATTATACGTAAATCGGAAAATCATCTGTTAAATGTTATCCTGTGTGCATAGTGCATACCATAAATTATTATCTGCGCCGTGTTTAATTTCGTTCAATTATTTTTAACCCTAGTCTGGCGGGTTATATATATACACTCAGAACAAAACGCGCGCACACAATATAATGTGAAAAAAGGGGTGTGCGGGCACGTCCTATATTGAAAGCGTCGTCCGACGGGCGGGCGACTATACAGCTAGTATACACATATATGTATATTATGCGTAAACGCACACGCGTTATAATAATACCCGCTACCCTATTTTTTCTGTCCCAAACGACAACGAAAATAAAACCAGCCGAGAACTCTCACCGGTCCACGGCATGTCTCGTTTCAATATGTCTTTTAGAATACAATTATATTATTATTATTTATTTTAATAGTGCTGTGGGTTCGAATCAGGCGCTCAGACGCGAGCGTTGTCATAATTTTTCTTCAAATTATCGTGCTAATGTGGAATTTATCCTAACCTATCTTTTTTTTTTTCTGTTTGAACCGACAGAAATTACAGGAATTGCTTTCGCATTACTTCCTCGACGCCGCCATCGTTTATTGATAAAAAACAATAATAAATCGGCCGATTAAAATATAAAAATGTATAAAATATAAAATATAAATATATATACTAAAGGTTATAAATGACCAATAATTATTGTCTATTATAATTATAATGCATTGTATTGTTATACATATACCGTATAGTGGTGTTTTATTTTTCTCGTGGTGCGTTTTTATATTATTATTTTTTATTCCCGTGGAATCGAATTTCCGTTTCCGCAACACAAACGGTGTTCGGTTTCACGTTGTTAATTAATTAGTTAATAAAACACGTGTAACACGTTCCCAAAATATCTATTGTTATTATGATCATTAATATTATATATATACATTTTTACAACTGTACTTACTGCTGCTGCAGTTGCAGTGGGCCATTACGCCATGTCTCTATACGTGCTTTTCAGCTAGATTACGAAAACGTACGATAATAATATCATGTATACACGCGTGGTCTCCATTTGTTAATGAAACGTGTTTTTTTGTTATCAAATATTATTGTTTTTATCATAATTCGTAATATAATGTAAGTAGCTGCATTAATTAATTATTTAGATAAAATATTAAATCTTTTAATTTTAATTTTTAACCATTAATGAAACTGCTTGGTTTACGTTATAACTTTTATCTTAAGTCGTACGTAGTGAATATTAGACATTATAACGTAGACACTGATAAAATATGCGTAAAACCACCGCTGCTAAGTCTCTAACATGATACGTTTGTTACTTTGTTATTAAGTATGTTTCCCTTAGTACCTAGTTTTAATTACAAGACAGGTTTAAGATTGAATAATCGACCCAAATGAAATGCGCTTCCGCGTAATTGTCTTCACAGACGTCGTTCTAGTTCGCACAAAACAATAAACCAAAAAAAATACACAATATTTTTAATGTGAAAAAATAAATAAATCTATCGCGCCCGTCTTAAATGATGAACTTGTTTATTTTTTTCAGAAATACTATTGGAATTCTTCAGAAGCGAATTATGAAATGTGTCAGTTGAAGGGCAAATCGGAGGTAGAATAATTATTTTTTCTACATGATTAATTATTATTATTATAATTTTTGTCGAACAACACTGCCCAACCCAACCCAGTTTTTTATTTACATATTTTGTATATCTCGTTTCAGGACGATTGCCAAAATTACATAAGAGTCGCGTACAAAAAGAACGACGAAGAACTGTTCGTCTGTGGCACCAACGCTTTTCATCCGATGTGCAAAATATTTAATTTGACCGTAAGTCTTAATTCGTTTATACAATATAATATATACCTATTTATGTGTATAGATAAATCATTTTCACGTATCACGTGCAGCCAATAATAACTGTGGTTTTTTTTCGGCACAGGACGGCACCAAAGGCGTGGAGGAAATGGACGGACGGGGTAGATGTCCGTACGATCCGTTACACAACAGCACGTCCATATACGCTGGCGACCAATTATACTCGGGAACCGTAGCCGACTTTTCCGGCAGCGATCCGCTCGTATACAAAGAGCCGATGCGGACCGAACGCCTGGACTTCAAGCAACTGAACGGTATGCACTTAACCGCCCGCACGACTGATGCAATCCAATATGACCAAACAGTAATGACCGCAATTTATTTATTAATTTTTACAGACCCGAATTTCGTGAGTTCGTTGGAATACAAGGATTACATATTTTTCTTCTTCAGAGAAATCGCCGTCGAGTACATAAACTGCGGAAAAGTAAATAATATATACTTCTTTGTATACACGATCCATAGCATGCCGCTGCCATCTAGTGAATATAAAAATAATACAATGAAATTAAATTTTCAGACTATTTATTCGCGAGTGGCTAGAGTTTGCAAACACGATAAAGGTGGTCCGCATTCGTACAGGGATCGATGGACGTCGTTCCTGAAAGCTCGGCTCAACTGTTCCATCCCGGGCGAATATCCGTTTTATTTTGACGAGATCCGTATGTTTACCGTGTTATATAATATAATTCATTGATACTCTTGGATAATGAATGATCGCAAATAATACATTTCTTGATGTGTTTTCATATTATGTACAGAGGATACCAGTGACATATTGAATACGGCTCTGACCGGCATCGTCGACCCGATCGTCTACGGTGTGTTCAATACACCCGTGAACGCCATCAGTGGCTCGGCTGTATGCATGTTCAATATTAGCGATGTCATCGAGACTTTCATGGGATCATTCAAGGACCAGGAGGCTATGGACTCCAACTGGTTGCCTGTGAAAAAGGTATGGCTAGTATATAATCATAATAACAAGCAGTTGGTTCGTTCTCTACCCTTGCATATATTATATTATAGTTCCAACTATTGGCGAAAAATTAGGAGAGGGATTAGCATTAGTTAGATCTTACTCCTACAGTCCTACCTAATTTGGTATGATTATAATGTTCTGTCTTCGATAATTCGGTCTGTTTGCTCCTATACGATTATGAATACACGTTTATATAATATCATCGTGTATTCGTGTACAATATACTTATTGAACTATTTTGACATAATTTTTACAGATCCCCGAACCCCGACCCGGGACTTGCGTAGACGACAGTCGGACGCTGCCTGACATAACAGTGAATTTCATCAAGAGCCATTCGCTGATGGACGGCGCAGTACCGTCGTTGTTCTCCAAACCGATTTTCACTCGGATATCGCTACAATCCAGGTTGACCAGCATCGCGGTGGACAATCAGATTTCCGGCCTGAAAGGACAGTACTACGACATTCTTTTTATGGGAACTGGTACGATAATGCTTAATAGTTACGATTTTCACAGTATATAATTCGTAATCGACTTATATAATAGGACTTCGTAATACGCCGTAACCTATTTATAATAGGTATATATAACTATTATGTATGTTTGCAGACGACGGTCGATTGGTCAAAGGCGCATTGCACACTAACAACGGTTTGCCCGAGTTTGTCAACATCGAAGAAGTGAATCTCACCTCTAACAACACAAAATCGCTCCCGGTCCGGACGTTGAATATCATCAAGTCAGTGGATGGCAAGCCGGGACGAATAGTAGTCACATTCGACCAACACATCATATCCGTGCCGTTGGACCGGTGCTATCTGAAGACTACTTGCCAGTGAGCATGCGATAATAATACTTATTTCACAACTTTATGACATTGATTAAGCAATGGAGATTTTAACGACTCTATTGTTTACAGAGAATGTATTGATCTACAAGATCCATACTGTGCGTGGGACGGGTCGCATTGTGTTAACCATTTAGAGATCAAGAGTACGTCCAAACAGCATTTTGTTCAATCCATTGGATCGTATCAGAGCAATATTTGCCCGAAAGGTATGTACTACAATATCATAATTTATAATTTATTATATAGAATTTGAACGAGGCTATAATATAACCGAATTTATGTGATTATATTAATACCGTTTCCAATTTTTTTTCCGTTTTGCAGTGCCTTTCGATGACAAGATCGGACATTCTTCGTCAATAGACGGTAAGTTGATTGTTTAAAATTTTACCGTAAATTATTATTACAATAATATCAAACTGTTTACATAAAAGCATATCATTTTATGTAAGATTATCGTTAATATTCTCCTCGTCTTACATATTACACAGATAACAACATCGATTCGAACGTGCCGAGGTGTCCATCGTGCGCGCCCTGCTACACCGAGAACGTAATCAACAGCGATAGTGAGTGTCATCGTGTTCACGTCTAACTATTAATTAACATAATTATAATTGTACACGATTATGATAACAATCGTCCTTGTCTGGTTGACGATTTATAATAATATTATTCTTTTACCCTTTGTGCTCAGGTGTTAGCGAAAAGGTATCCGAGATGCCCGTTATCTCTCTGGGCGACGTCATCGGGCTGCTGATGATGATGTGTGTGCTGGCCACGCTGCTCGTCGGGTTCGCGGCCGGTTTCGTGTGCTCTCGGTACTTTCGGCACTCCGCCGATCCGTTTTCGTCGATGGCCATTCACGCCCATCACCAGCTTAACCGACTGGCCGATATGAACGGGGCGGCGGAGATTGGCACAGCTCCGTTCCTACCGTGCCCTAACAACAAGGCACCGATCAACCTGCTGGTGAACGTGACCAAGTGCAAGAACGACACGCTCGAGAAGAACTTGGACTCGGCGGTGGAGAACAAGACCCTTCAAAAGGTCAAGAAAACGTATATATAATGAGCGTGCGTACGACGAACGGACGAGCCGGCCACGACCGCCGCTTCCGGTTTCGTTTCGCCCGCGGACCGGATTTTGCCCGATGGAGAAATACAGTGACTGATTTCAACGACTTATGCGCAATGGTGTGCGTACAGCGTACAATATTATGTTATTATTATTATTATTATTATTATCATTATCATTATTGGTACGGTTGGACGGCGGACAAGGTGAATAAAAGATCTCAAACTTAATCAAAACGACAGTGAAATTATATAATATATGTATGTATAATCATGTTTATATAATATTACTGTATAATATGGTATAATATGCTTGTGGAGCGGCAGTTCGCATAGACTCTTTCGCCGAGTAAGTCAACCGACGTTCATTACCGTTTACGAATGTTGTCAGTTCGATCATCTAACGCGACCATGGCACATTCCTTATGATTATTATATGAGCTTATTATTGACAATTATTATTATTATAAGTATAACGTATATTGTATTATATACGGTACGATACACTTCAGACGCGTTATGCTCATCGACACGTTTTTATCACGCGTTGTTGTTAAAACTTAAATATATAGGTACACACGCAGATAAATAATATTATTTTGATGTTATGTTGTAATATTATTACTATTGTTATTATTATTGTGATAACTATTACAATATTATTATCGAGTGACTACAACAAATTCCGAGTAAATTGTAATATTCCCGTTGACACCAGCAAATGCCGTGTGTTTGCCACCAAACTTTGAACATTGAAGAGGACCAAATTTTCCCAAGGACTTGTAAATTATATTATATAAGTATTCAATGTAAATCATACTCGATGTATTAGCATGATTTATTATCGTTATTATTTAGTTTTATTATCTATATTTTTGTTAATGGACACGAATAACAATAATATGTTATCGAAGTGTACTTGGATGGATAGTGTAACACTCATTTTAATAGTGAGGGTTTACTCCTCTCAATCACGATCACAAAAATCATGGATGTGTAAAGGAGAAAAAGAAAAATGTTAATTAATTATTTATTATAATTATACAGTATTATTATTATTTTCATAAGAGTCGTAATTTTGTTTGCGACAACTATGTACAAGAACAATACATTGATTGATGATTTTGTATGTGCAATACACACCTAGATGCACGCCCTTTTTTGATCTCTAAATGTAATATGCTCTAAAATGTAAGTGCCTTTTGTAATTGATGTATTTATCTTGAATATGATATAATTTGTATATATTTACTAGATTAATATATTTTGTGCATAATATATTTATTATTATTAATGAACTTCCAATCATTGTATAAAGGCATAAAACGATATTTTATATGTTTAGAATAATAATATTATTGGTTACCAAGGTTTATACTTACATATAAACATATATAAACATATATAGTATTTATATTATATTCTGATAATAATTTATATTATTATTTTTTAAATAACTAGGATATTTTTTATTTTTATTGTCTATTTTTTTATATCTCTTATTATTATGCTTAATATGTTATAATTTTTTTTGTATGGACCAGTGCATTTTTTGCACTAAGAAAATGTATAGAACTATTATTGTTGAAATATAGTGCCTTATGAACAGTTAGCATTGTTAATATTCTTATATTTAACTATTTTATTGTAATTATTATTGAAGATTGTTTTTAAATAATATTATAATATTATTTCACTATGATAATTACCAATTTCAGAATATCATATCACATTATCCTATACTTCAATATCTAAAGAAAACAGGCTAATAAAAATGGTATTATTATTTTTTGTCAATTCGTACTTCCGACCAGTCTTAAAAAATAATGAGTAATGACCACTTATTATGATATGGTTTATGGTTTTGCTCTCCAAATCACAAAAAAACCACACGGAAAAGCGTTGTGTATTGTGTATAGTTGCTATACAACTACATAAAAATAATATAGGAGCTTCTGTCGAACAATGTGAGCATCTGGGCTGCAACTGCCACCACATCTTAATTTAATTCATTGTATAACATAATATTTTATGCACTATGCAGTCGTGTTTTATTTTACTTATTGATCCTTAATATCTATTTGATTATATAAAACTTATACTTTTGTCTAAATAAATTATCGGTCATAATCAATGAGTTATACAACTCGTATTATGTATAAAAAAAAGTGATAAGAATATTAATATGTAATGTGAGTATGGGGCTAATATTAAAATGTAATTAATTTGATATAAAGATATTTAGGAAAATTTTTTGTTTTCTTATACCTATACCCACTATTCCCTAAAATTATAATAATATATTAATATTTTATTTTGATTTCTAAAATGTTGAGTTGGTATTTACTTTAGTGTTTTTTTATAGGAATAAACAATTTTATTCAACAATCGATTACTACAATAACCTAGGAAAAAGGACAACGTGCTTAAATATGTTGACAATAAAAGTACAATCATTCTAGGAGTATTTTTCTAAGGCTTATAAGAAATGAGTTTCTTGTAAGAACAAAATATTATATTTTATTGAATTCAGTGCATCATGCGGGTGGTATTGGTTATTGGTAGTGTGGCTGGAGTCACTCATATAATATTATTATTAATTATTGTTGACTGCGCAGTACTCTCACAACAGTGTACTACGTAACCACAAAAGTTAAGAAAATAGCCTATTGAATATGCCTTAAAAAATAAGGGGAATTGACTACGTACGTCACACCAGCCCCCCCATTTTCAAAATATTGAAATTTTATTTTTCTATCTCTTAGTATACTCCTTTATAAAGAAAAAATTATCCACCAATAAAAAATGACATATTTTGTTTAGATTTCGATAAATATGTGCCATGGGGGGAGGAATATACCCAATTCACATATATTTCTTCAATTTTATTTGGTAATCCAGTTCCCCACCAAAAAAATCAAATATGTTTGTGCTCATGGGTAGATATATTATTATTATTATGTTTGCAATATTTATTTATTATAATAGTGAATGCTAAGACGAGAATTAACAACACAACTATTTATCAGTTAAATTAAATTACAACAGTCAATAGGCTTAAGTAAAGTACAATTATTAATAGAATATATTGTCTGGTTTCTCTTTCTATAATAAGTTAAGATGAACAACTAAAACTCAAATCATAGGATGAAACAGGTGATTGTGACATACCAGAAAGGTATCTATAGAAATTATTATTATTTTCTAGAATATAGTTAAATTGATTTAATAAGTGTTGATGGTTTCAGGCAGTTTAGTCGTTTGTGGAAGACCGTAATAATTTATATATTATATATTTAGGTATTCTTCAAGAAAATAATAACCTCACTGAACAAGTTATCATAAAATACATTTTTTTTTATCATACTTATATTTATCATAATAATATTATATATTTTGAGAAAATTTAAAACATTTTATAAAATTTTGTTACTCTATACTTAGTACTGTTCTAATGAATATTTAACTATTTTAGTAATATAATACATTGATAGGTATTTTGAGTAATTACAGTTATAGTAGTATATTCTTTAAATTGTACGTTAAAATACATTTTAAATTAAAACATGAACATAAAATTATAATTTTAATATATACCATATTTGGCTTTAAATCTTTAAATAAAAATAACTCTAATGACTTTATAACGTTCATCAGTAAAATATATAATAATATACAGGGGATTTCAAATATTTCAAACTAACGAGTATAGATTTATTAATAATTTATTTTGTACATGATATTTAATATAACTTCTATACGTAGAATAATATAGTAATGATAATGTTATAGTATAGGTATTATGTACAGATGTAATAGTATACAGGTATAGTCGTAAAGATTGGCACGCATACCGCGGTAGCAATAATTCGCGCGATTGACCACGACCATAAGCAAGTCGCGTGTCGTTTACGCGGTTTTTCCGGTGCTTTGGTTAATTTTCCGCCCGGTCGTTCACGCTGATCTTTTATAAGACAACAAACAAGATCGACGAGAGGAGAAGTAGAAAAGTTTTCACGCGTCACTGACGGGTATATCGCGCCAGTGTATCAGGTATTCCGCGTGCGCCGTCATGTGCGCGTTTGTCTGCCGGTCTTCACGGCGCATGCCGGGCGGCGGCGGCAGTCGGTCGCCCACGGACACTATAAACTTATTCGATTATCGACCGACGCCGCGACCGCCACAGCAGTCGCGCCGCACTACCAGCGTACCGCCACCAGTAGTAACGCCGTCTCCGGTCGGAACGCTCAACGTTTAGCCAGCTCGCGCTTGTCCGATTGTGGTGTGTCTGCGTCGCGTGCGATCTCCGGTATGACAGTGGTAGCGTGAGGTACCTACAGTCCATCGTCCGCAGGTCGAAAATATCCGTCGTGGGTAAGTCCGGCCACGTATTCATTAAGGTCGACGATATATTATTATTGTTATCATTTCGCTCATTCTTCGTACGATCGTCGTCGCACGATTATTGTAAATGTCAAAATATTATAATACAATTATTGTTGATGCGTGCGTATATGGGTAATATTGGAATTTGACATGATATTATTATAGATATTATACAATAATAATAATGATAATATTATTGTGCGTGTGGTGGTTTTCCTCATGTCTGGCGGCCGACAGTTGTTTTCTGCCTGTTGTCGATAAATTCGTTGATCATATTATCGACAGCCTCGTTGTCGTAGTAATTGTTACACTGCAGCAGCTCGTCAACCGGTGTCGTACCGGTGGTCGCGTGGACCTGCCTCCGCCAACGTCGACGGTCGTCCCGTTTTCCAGCCAATCTTTTTTTCAGCGCCTGCAACGGAAATAGAGATTAATCCGTTGTTAAAATATCACACATCATTTTTTATACACGATAGAGTATAATATTATTATTATAACCTGTGCGTGTATAACATAATACAGTATTTCGGCGATATCAGAACCTAACTTAACCATTACCTAACCCGGTTGTGAGTATTAATGTATTATAGGTATATTAGTCGGTACCTTACTATATAGCCCGCGCATAATTGGCGGCTGAAAAATCGTTAGTGATTTATAGTGCCCCGCAAATGGTTTCACGATTTTTATACATTGCTTCGGCACACGCATTTCAGCAATTATTAAATTGATTATCTTTATAGCCGGGGTTCGGCGCCAAACGGTGGTTAATGCGGCGTTTGACGACGAAACAGTAAAAAAAAAAAATAATACCGTTCCCGCGTAAACGCTTATAAGGGGCTATTACACTGCCTCTGTATCCGTGCAAACCATGTGGTCCGTGTTCAGAATTTTCTCGTTATTCAACAAATTAAATAATATCGTTTAGGTAAAACGATTTCTCTATTAATAACGACATTTATATAATTACCAAACGCACGGTGGAATAGTTGAATACTTTCAACTATTTGGTAAATTTTATTAACGGGTCATACAGATACTATGTAATAGCCCCTTTACGATGATTCGACCATCTACGAACGTCGATTATTTTATTTATTCTGTAACGAGTTGCTTAACGCTTAAGCGACCAGAACAAAATACGTATTCCTGATTTCAAAACTAGAACGCGAAAATTTGATTATTGAATATTATATTTTTATATTCAATACGTATAAAAATGTTTTATATCCCATAGATACTCTTATTTGCATCCGGCAAACCAAAAGAAATAAAAATACACTAATATAACGCTATACCAATACGCAACTACAAAATGTGTTGCATACATGTACGCCGTACATTTTATTTCATTTTTAAAATAATACAATTGAATTTTAATGTTTAATAACGTTTATAATAATATTAATAATATTATCTTACCTATAATCATACCTACACCATATTAACTTATAAAGTAATACTACTCTTATTAAGTGTTTTTATTTTTCTAAAAATTAAACAAGAAAATAATTAAATAAGTTTGATGTTATACCCAACAACCAGAACCAAAATTGTGGTGGAATCGGAGGGGGGGATGACCTACCTTCTCTCTTCAACATATTTTAGCGTTCACATATAATTATATGCAAATAAATCTGGCATTAAAATCTTTAGATACATAAAATTATACTTTTGCATCCCTTTTCTAATATTTTCAAATTCAAGTACTAATAATTGCCACCTATCACCATTAGAAGTAAAAATCAAAAGTTATAAACGGTTTAAGCTATAACACTCATCCGATCAAATACCAAACAACTCAACCATCCTCAATCCATCTGTACCGCTATCAAATTCATATTCGCCGCCCAACTAAATTTAAAAAAAAAAATCTAATTATTTTTCTTGTTTGTATTAAAATATGTATTACAATGTAATATGATTATATTCGTCCAATGGCTTACGCCGCTGAAGATATAAAATATTAATAAAAAAAAAAATGAACTAGGTATATTAATAATTTATAGCTTAATTTTGTATTGTGTTTTAGTTTCTGACATGGAATTTTAAATCAATACCACCTACCTTATTTATTGCTAATACTAGAAGACTGGTCGCTGCGATCCAGTTATAGTTAATATTACATGTACCTAAAGGCATTATAAATTTAACTTAATGTGCTATGACAGTCTATTAAAGAACTTTTACTGTACTAAACCTTGCAGAGATAAATGGTTTCAGTAGAAGTAATGTATAACGGCAATTACAAATAATGTCTGTGGGTAAATGTTGAGGGGTAATATTACATTTATATACCTACCTATGTTGAATTTTCGACCTTAAAGTTGTGATATATACGTATTTTATAATGATGCAATTTAAAATTTTACCCCCATTGAATTTGATTTAAATTTAAATTTACCCATTAAATGGCAAATACCATGGTAAATAAACGAGCTATGGTGTCGTGTTGCAACAATATTTTCAATTTTGTGATTTGTTATTATAATTTGATGGAATATATTAGGTACTTATTGGAATGTGCTTTTGGTAATTTCTAAGAAGTACGTTCTTGTGGTGTATGGTTGTCTAATGTATATAGATGGATACAATATAAGTTTAATACACAATATTATATACCTATGAACCTACTGTAGTGAAGGATCAACATTTATAATAATATATTTGTCATTTGTCATTATCATATCATATCTAGTATTAAAACTTTTGATATATAATACCTATAAACTATAAACGATAATACATTTAATGAATAAAACGTTTATCAGATATTTGATATATTTATGTAGGTAACTAAAAATATTTTATTTAAATATAAATTAAAAATATTATAATTATATACCATTTTAAATTTAAAAGCTTGTATTATTCCAAAAGAGTGAAATTCTTATGGAAAACGTTTTAATGCAATAACTCTTATTTTAAGTTGAAAAGAGATAAAAATCTTCTTCCGTAATATTAAAAAAAAAAATTACATAGCAATAAGTTACACATATAACTGTATAAATGCGTGTGTAATGTGTTTACGTAAAATAAATATGAAAGTTATAATAATTATTAGTTTTACATACCTACAACAATTCAATTACAATTTGAATTAGTTAAAAATTATTTAAAACAATAAAATATCATACTTCTAGAACTCAAGTTTATCGATTATGTTTCTGAACTCTATAACGTAATATTATCACAAACATAATATATTTTGTGGAAGAGCACAACATATATGTTATGATCGTGTAGAATAATGATGAATGATTATCATATAATATCGTGTCCGGTATTTTTATAAGCAATGAAATATTATTGTATTCCAACTGTGAACGATAAAATAGTAAAGAGTTCAGATTTGGACTTCTTTTTTTTTTCTATTTTTACTAATATATTCTTAGGTAAAACGTTGTGGATTGCTTGACAAGTTTAAATATAGGTATAAATAATAAGTTAATAATAATAATTTTTATAAAAAAAATAATGTATAGATTTGTAGATGATTCGATAAGCCCATTGTTAAGATATTTCACTTATCATTGAATTATTAATTTGTAGATACAGCATGCGTATTCAAAAAGATTTTTTTAGGTTAGTATTAGATATTCTTTGAATAGGCAAGAAAGTTTTTGTTGTCATATAAAAAAAATTGTATACAGAACATTATTGAGATTTTCTTCGGTTATTCGAATGGGGTTTTCTGTGAACAATCCAATAACAAATAGTTTGAATAGTATTTGATTTACATACAAAGTATTAATACGTTTCCGAGAAAAGAAATAATATAACCGTTGTAACTTTGAAGCTGCAAATATAATACTATTTTTTAATTATTCATTTTTATTTTTCATACTTTTTACGTATAAAAGAACTATAAAAAAAATATATAATAAACTTGATATTTTACACTTAAAAGAACTTAAAAACACACTCTTCCTCGAGATTTGGACTTTAAAGTGTATGGCACTTACTCAGAATATAATTTTCAAAAGTTGTTGAAGACATTTTAAAGTGACAACGTTTTTTAAATCTAAAAATTATAAGAAAAAATACTAGTTTTTATGTACAAATTTAAATAAAATAGGAGGGTTAAATTATTTTTGCCAAAAATATCGACTTTTATGTTGTATTAATTATTATCATATTTTATTATATTTATAATTTATAAAGGTACCTACAGTGCTTGAATTGGAAAAAAAATAGAAGGGGTATGCAAAAGTATAAAACATTTGTGCGTCCCCCCAACATTTAAATGTCTTATCAATTCTTGAAATTAGAAGGGGTACGCTAAAATATTTTAAAAATAGAAGTTGAACTCCATCCCCCCGCCCCCCCCCCCAATTCAACCACTGGGTACCTATTATTGTTATTAACTTATAATTCGTAAGTCAATACCGACGTGTGACAGACTGTTGAATGTTGAGAATATGTAAATAACTTAAATTTTGTTTTAGTATTTTTAAAATGTCATTGTACCTATATAGAAAATAATATTATGTAAACGTAATTACAAAAAGTTTCAAGTCTTTACGATTAATAATACATTTTTGAACTGCAACAAAATAACTAAAATCTCTATTTTTGTTTAAATACCCATTTGTTATATACAATAACATAATAAAAATATTAATTGTGACTATTTTTTAACTGCGGCAAGAACTTCTTATAAATAACCTTACATTTAAATATTTAATGTTCAAGCTTTTTCACCTAGAAATAAATATTTTATCAACTTAAATCAAAAAAAAAAAAACTGAATGTATTTTAAGTTGCTTAAAATTAGTCTAAATATTTCAATAATTGTATCATTCTATAATTATTAATATTTGGTAAAGTTTTCAAATCCCTACTATTATTCTTTAATAAATTTATAAAAAAAATATATTCCTTAGAATTTAAAAATAGATGTGTATTGACTATTATTGTCCACATAAAAATAATATTTTCATACTTCCATGTTCCATATGAAATATGATATATTAAACTATTATTGCTTATCGTAAATTCAATAAACCTTGGTACCTATTTACTTCCCAAAAAAAGAAATATCTTAATTCTTAATTTATGAAAATAGTTTAGTATTAAAATATTAAATATTAATAGCCATTAGGGTTAAAGTCTTTAATAGAACTATAAGTAAATTTTAATATTTGTTCATCCTATTTTAAAAAGTACCTACATTGTTTTTCCTAATGGTAAATAATTACACTACTGAGAATTATATAAAAATATTTTTACTAAACATTAATTTTAGGTAAAAACAGAATATAACATCGGCAAAAATAAAACTAAACTTTAATTTATTTGGAAAATATAAGTTTTTATTAAAAATAATTTTGAAAAGCATACGTGTTCAAAATTATTAATCAAACTTTTCTGTTGTTTAGGAATGCTCTGTACAAGTAATAATTGTAGTTGGAGAGCTATTCGGCAATATATTGTCATAATAATAATAATTATAATCTTAATGTGAGTTCTTGTAGTATTAAACCGTACAGAAATACAGTATGTTTATAATCAATGGTAGGACTTAATACCTAATGGCTACATAATTTTAATATGAATGATACAAATTGTAATAAATTACATAAATTATTTTTACACATTGTAGTTTTTTATGTTTATTGCTTATGTGGTATGCCAGACCTGTACGGTATTCATTAAATATTTCCATGGTAGAGAGGTCCAGTATCTATAATATATTTTATTTTGGAAATAAATAATGATATAGGTAGGTTATAGGTACATTTTGTATTATAAATTTACTATAAAAGGCTGTGTGGCAAAATATGCATGTCTATATTTCGTATTTAAAAACTGTATAAAGCCATATATATAAAATGTAAAAAACCAATTTAAATTTAATATTATTAAAATTTAACACCGGGAATTGCAAATATTCAATAATCTCCAATTCCAAATTCACTCACGCACTGCGGTTTTCTACCCCCTCACCCACATGCAATATATAATGTTTTGCCGACCTACAAAACCAACTGTATAGACATTTTTTTTTTCTATCGGGTATTATTGGTATTCTCAATAACATATATACCTATAGGATATATAAAATCGCTTCCCTTATTGAAAACGTCTTTTCCAATTCTCTAGACGACCTTCTTATTATTATTTTCTAGCCTTTTTGCGTTTTTCCTCAATCACACAACCAAATACACTAGAGTCACGTTCGTAATCCCAAACTATTTCTCGACACAGTCGTTTTTATTGCACATATACAATCGTAGTTTTAATTGGACACGTCTAATGGAACTCTCTTACATTGGCCTGCCACTCAGGCTAAACACGTCACAGGTACTACATAGTACATAATATACAGTATATAAAAAATAAAACCATCCAAAGTTCCAATGTCTACGTTCTTTTTAACGACGAAAACAACCACGTACCAACGTTTTATGGTTTTATACTTTTATAAAAGTAGTTTTATTCAATTCGCAAAATGTGTGGGCGTCCTTTATATTTTTAGAGACATGCGTATTGTGTAACTACACAAGTATTATAAGTATATTCATTATGGTTAACGAATAGCCTACCTAGACGACAAATTACGAAATAAACTTAACACACTATATTAGATACTTATTCAATGTACATATTATTATTATAACTTATAGAATTGATATTACAATATATATTTTAGTTTATGTAATTAATGTCCACTCACCTTGACGTATTTATTGCAAGCACCGACTATGGTCCGTAACGCGATCATCGTGCACCGACTCCAGAGAACCAACTGATACCGCGTGGTATAGTGTAGTGTATACACTGCAGCGGGCCGCGGCGTCCCTCCGGCTATGTGTTCGGGGGGTAAGTGGTCGGGGTGAGGAGGGGGGAGGGAGGGCGTGTAGTTCTCACGGGAGAGAAAACAGTTTCGCACGTGTCCGAAAAAAATAAAAGGGGCACCGGCGTGGCACGTGGGAACCGCTGCACGGGACACGTGCCACGATCAAATATAATATATTTAATAATAATACAACAATAACAATGCCTATCGTACACGTTAAGTACGCCACATCACCAATATATTATTATATATGTGTCGTGTGTGCGTACGTCCATTCTTCATCCCTGAGATATTTTCTCGTCACTACCTTCCCGATCACGCAGTGCCGATTTCGATCGCCATTTTCCTTTTTCCTGATTATAAAATTATATTATGTATTATAATGTATTCTTATTCGATTATTCCTGTTAATTCGATTAGATACTTTGTATTGCAAAACAATATATACATTATATTGTTGTTTATTACATACAAATAGAATACGTAGATAATCCGTTGGGCCTAACTCGACAGATTTTGAAAATCGCGTCGTCTCGTGGGAATACGTTCGGTTTTTTACTTCTCATAATACACCGAAACATCAAAGTCATAATCGTACTTATATTTTCACTATGCATTAACGTCGGTTATATACATTATACAAAGATATATATTTTTTATCAAAAGTCACTTTTTATACAATATATTTTCGTCACGTCATTGCAATCAAGAGTCAGTTTATAAGTGCACGTAAAAAGTTGTTGGGTCATTCGAATAATAACAATATAATATGGAAACTATATTTTGTGCAATGGTTCAAAAGTAATGTCGTTTGTATATTATTCTTGTGACATATATTGTGTTATGCTGGGTATTTTTTTTTTCGATAAAAAACAAATGTCAAACCTCCCGAACCAATATTCTTACAACAATACAACCAATATTGGTTGTGTGATACAGATAACAAAATGAATATATTTTGTATACCTAGGTATGTAATGTTAATGAACACTTAACTAGGTATTACAAAATAACATTTGTTGATATTCTCGTTATAAACAATTAAATTACCTAAGTCATAATAATATATTTTAAGAAATAATTTTCCTAAAAAAATAATTAAACCTTTTTATAAAGTTGTATTGAGTCTAAAATGTACTTAAGAGGATGTCAGCGCAATTTTTGTTTTCTCTCTCAGATCCACGAGCAACACGGATTTTTGAGTAATCTCAGAGTAAAATCACCTATAGCAAAAATTATAGAGGATAAAAATATATTTAGGATATGACATATTGGTTTTGTATTTTATTATTAATTGACTTTGTAGGTATTCGAATTTCAAAATAAAAATAAATTTGTAAATATAAATTATGTTTAAATTGTTTTGACACAAAATTTAGATAAATCGATATGTAATACCATTGATTTTATAATATACTATAAAATATATGTATATAAATATATATTATAAAATCAATGGTAATACCCTCGAAAATATTATTCGTTTTTGTAATGGATGATTAATGATTATCTAATATATAAAATTCTCGTGTCACAATGTTAGTTACCATACTCCTCCGAAACGGCTTGACCGATTTTTATGAAATTTTATATACATATTCAGTAGGTCTGAAAATCGGCTACTATCTATTTTTTATACCCCTAAGTGATAAGTGTTGTCCAGAAAAAAATAAAAATAAAAATAATATTATTACTAAAATAAAAATAGTGTATTATATTGGTTGCTATTGGTTGATCGGGCATGTGTCTGTTGATTTGTATTATTATATTTTGTCAATATATATATTATATAAATTAATGTTTGTGTGTAGATTAGACCTCTGTTAAGAAAATAGGCTAATCTAAAAAGGGTTAAATTTTGTTTTTTTTATTCATCGGATTTTAGTACGCCCCGAGATCTACCACAGGTATAGATTGCCTACCTGATAATATACTGCTGCGAATTAGAATTTTTATTCCGGGCAACAGAAAAGTTAAGATAAATCTAGAGCATCATACGCCGAGTCTTGAGTCTATAAGCTTGAGTCATACACAGTTGGTACATTTAACGGGTAACGAAGTGCACGGGATCAGCTAGTACTATATAAGATTACTCAATAACATAAAAAAAATTATGCTGCGTAAATGCGTTTTATCTATGTTGTGAGGTGCAGGCTAGATGGAAAAAACAAACAGTGAGCTGAAATCCTCTCAAACAAAATTCCCATATAAAATTTCCCAATAGATAAAAATATCATAATGGTTTAATACCTATATTTTGGGTATATAATAGGGGTGCTATTGTGATCTACATAATATGTACTCATTTCCTCTGTAGGGTTTTATAAATACGAAAAAAAAATACAAAGGTTCTATAATAGTTCTTATACAGATAAATAATATTATATTATAATAGTATGTTCCTACCTTTGTACCATACAATTGAATTAAACTCATCTATACATAATATCATACATTTATAGATACGTATAAGATATAAATTTAGAAACAAGAAACATATAATAATTTAAATATGCTGTAAGTCTATATGTACAATTCTAATTGGCCGATATTGTTCAATACTTATACAATTAAAATGTAAAAGTTGGCCACACTAAATAATATAATAACATCAAATATATTATACGGCTCTAATATATTATATTATATTATGCATATCCATAATAGTTGTATTTTTTTATTTAAGAGTTACGCTTGGTTTAAATATCAAAGGGAGTTTTGTAATGCTTTCATTTGGATTTTTGAATTTTAATTCACTCGACATTGTTTTTTTTTTCATCTGGCACTTGTCTGCAATTCGCGGACACGGTCCACCGGACCCTTATCCATTTTTCGTGAACGGATCCCTTCTCAAAGTTTTATAATTATTATTGAGTGTAATATAATAACAACAATTGGACAATCATAACTCGAAATGTTATTTTGACCGATTTTAAATGCATTGTTCTGTAGGCCCATGTTTTCCACATTCAAATGATGAATGGACACGACCAGAACGAATTGGCTTATATTATATAGTGTCATAAAGGTCTTTCTCGCGGAACAGGAAATTGACATTTATATTTTAAACTCCATAACCGCGGAATTCAGTGATATCGTTCTCGATTCAAAAAAGGGCAGAAATCGTGCAATACAATTGCAAACAGAATTTTTACCCTCAAATAAAATATTATAAAAAGTTCACTGCCATATAATATACAGCATTGTATCCATTTTTCAATTTCTATCATACGACGTATTCCGTATCCTATATTGTACTGCAACGTATTAACATATTTAGTTCAACACAGCGAGTCCTTTATAAAAAAATCACATATTTTTTATCAGAATATAATATAACTTTCAATAATTCCCTCTATTCTACTAAAATACTTGCAAATTAAAAATATTAAAATAAAAACTTATTTAGGTAAGCACCTACTTGCAAGTAGGTTAGGTTACCTACCTACTATGGCACTTCTTTATAAAGATTTTATGAATATTGTGAAATAATTATGTTTTTAATGTGTTTTAAAATAATTAGTGAACACTTTCATTTTTAGACTTCACTTAATAGTGTTTATAAATAATAATATATAGAATTACTTCTTAGAGATGTATTATTTACATTTTATAAAGCAGGTATTTATTTGAAAAAAATATATTTCGTTAGGAACTAAATATCTCGTAAGTTTGATAACATGTAATTTATGACATCGATCAACTACAATGTAAAAATAAGAAAGAACCACATTTTAATAACATTAAAATTGTTTATGGAATAAAAAAATCACGCATCGTTGTACAACGATATAATGTTTAAACAATATCCGCTGTGAATCTAAAAGCTAAATAAAATGTAATCGTTACTATTTGTATTAAGTTAAAAACAAGTGACGATAATTTAAAATTTAAAATCCCTCAGGGTTTAGTTTATCAAGCAAAACGTGTAAAGTGATGAAGATGCATTTGAGTTGAGCATGCGGAACAGGAAATCGTCATGATTGATTGATTGATGATCGACTGTCGATTGATTGAGCGACATGTGTGCTCGTTAACGTCCGATTGTCGATACATGTGCAATTGGTAAAATAAAAATGTGGATGGATTGAATGCAAACGTAGTGGTTAGCTTTTCATAAAACAAAACGTATGGTTATTCATATAGGTTTTCGAAAATAAAATAAAATGTAATTTATAAATATTTATAATATTTTAAATGTACATTATGAATAAGATTCTACATTTCTACAAAGAGTTTGAACAATTGTTGTTTAAATCAGTATGGTACATTTATAAATATTCTATTTAAGTTTTTGTATTCTGTTTATGTATAGTAGGTACATATATTTTTGGTAAATATTATTTTTATATTGGTAGATAGATGGGAAGATTTAAATTGGGAAATAGTTGGGAATTATATTTTTATATAAGAGGTCGAGGAAACATTAAGTTAAATTAATATTCAGTCTCACCGTTTACGCATAAAGGTAGATAACTAGATAAGATCTTAAAGAGAAAATATTAATAAAATAAATGAAACAAATAGTAAAGTATTTATATATATTTTTTCATAAATCAATTTTAATTTAAATAAACCATGGATCAATAGTTAACTTTATTTTTAACTTAATTAAAAATCAAAAATACATACAATTTTAACTATAAAATCATTTATACTTCAACTGTAAATCTTTTTAATGGTTTTTTTTTAATTACCTAAATTGTATTAGGTATGCTATATAGTTTTACTTCACGTCTTCTTTGACACCTATCGACTTACATTGACTTTTTTTTTTAATTCAATAACAAATTGTACGTCACACCTACAAAATTATCTGTAAAATCACTACAGGATATTATTTACTTTTTCCGTTCCCCATAATTCAAAGGTCGAGTAACTATCGTAGTATAGCTGTACATGGTATTAGGTATACCATATACCGT